GAGGAGGAGGAGGAGGAGGAGGAGGAGGAGGAATAGGAGGAATAGGAGGAGGAGCAGAAGGAGGAGGAGGAGGAGAAGAGGAGGAAGGAGGAGGAGGGGGGAGGAGGAGGAGGATTCTTGTTGGGTCTGGCCTCGTGCTTCGCGTGCTCCTGCCTGGCCTGCTCGCAGGCCTCTGGCGCGCCCCTGAAGAGCTTGGTGGCCAAAGACTGGAAGGCCTCGGGCACGGTGGCCCTCCCAGCAGCCAACTCGCGCTCGTCGTCAGCAGTGCGCTCGAACTCTTCAACATCTCGCTGCACGTCGAGCAGAGGGTCCACGTTGAAGAAAAATAAAAAAAAAAATAAAAACAACGAAAAAAAAAGGTCCACGTTGAAGAAAGTACCGAGCTGCTCCTTGCCGTCCAGGAAAGCCTTGAGGTCGACCTGCTTGAAGGAAGACGAGTCCTCGGGCAAAGCACCACCGGCCAACTCCTGCACATACTCCTGGTAGACCTTGTCAGCTGCCTGGAGCACCTTTGTGCACTTGAGCACGAGGGTGCGCTGCTCGTCACGCTCAGCCCGCCGCTCCGTGAGCTTGTCAAACCCATGCTCCAACTTGCACTCCTCTCGTTTGAAGTCGGAGGCCTGCTGCTGCGAGCGCTGGTGCTAGGGGGAAAACAAACCTCCCTCGCTTTTGACCACCCCCGCTTCCAAGAGATACCAAACGATGCCAAATTGCAGCCTGTACTGATCAGGCCGCTTGACGAGGAGGCGCGTGGTATGGCTTGGTTTTGCCTGGAAGCGAAAGCGGGGTAGGTAATTCACGCTCTGAGGTGCAAAAGGACCGTCTGCCCCGTCGGCGCGGAGAATGACTTGGCCAGCTGCTCGTAGCAGCGGGCCGCGGCGGCGTCCCCAGCTTTGGCCGAGCCTCCTCGGCCGAGATCTCAGGCGCAGGCCCAGGCGGCAACGCAGGAACACGCTGGCCGCCACTGGACTTAAGTCAAGCCTGTCCTCAAACAGGGGGATTTTGGACGAACGATTCGAAATAGTCAGAACATACCCCCAAACAAAAAAATACTCAAAAAAATCGTCCCCTGAGCATTTTTTTGATTATGTTGGAATGTTCCCCCTGTAGAGGACACTGGACGCGAGAGCCCTGCTGAGGTCGACGCCCTCGCCCTTGCCGCCCTTGTCTCTGCCCTCCCCTTGCCGCGGCGAGGACCAGGCAGCTGCGCGGGGGGAGCCCAGACACCTCCGGGCTGCCTGGGCACAGACGGCTGCGCGCCGACAAGGGAGGGGGGCAGACGTGCAGTGCTTGCGCCACTCGTGGTGAAGCATGTTCTTACGTTGACAGCCGCGTGGCGAGCAATGTCCTCTAGTGCTCCACTCGTCCCCCTTCGTTCCCACAGCCCTCGCTCGGAACCCAAGGCTGGCGAGAGAGAGGAGCAGAAACCATCGGGCACAGCAGGAGAGGCACTGCAAGTGAAACGTCTTGAACTGTGGAGCCTGGCGGGCGGGCGCCGGGATAAGCAGTGGGGCCGCAAAACCCCTCACCAGGGGCGCGAATCCTCGAGCAATGCCTCCGTATCTGAGCCAAAACGGCTGAAGCCAAAATTGCTCCTCCTCCTCCTCCTCCTCCTCCTCCTCCTCCTCCTCCTCTTTCCCCCTCGCCCGACGACGGCTACCACGACGGCGAGGGCAGACAACGACAGCGACGCAACAGGAGCAGCGACGACGACGACGGCTACCACGACGGCGGCGAGGGCAGACAACGACAGCGACGCAACAGGAGCAGCGACGACGACGACGGCGACGACGACGGCGAGGGCAGACAACGACAGCGACGCAACAGGAGCAGCGACGACGACGACGGCGACGACGACGGCGAGGGCAAACAACGACAGCGACGCAACAGGAGCAGCGACGACGTCGACGGCGACGACGACGGCGAGGACAGACAACGACAGCGACGCAACAGGAGCAGCGACGACGACGACGACGACAGCGGCGACGACGACGACGACGACGACGACGACGACGACGGAGAGCGGAGATCGCCGTCGGATCTGCGGGTCCGGGCTCGGGGCTCCGCCGGCCCTGCGGGACGAGCCGGGCACCCCCCGCACGCCCCCTGGCGTGGCGCCGCTGCCGGAAGACGCCCCCGAAGGCGCGGCACCGCCGAGGGACCGACGCGGAAAGGTCCGAAAACCTCGGGGCTTCCTCCCCCCCCTCCTCCTCCTCCTCCTCCTCCTCCTCCTCCTCCTCCTCCTCCTCCTCCTCCTCCTCCTCCTCCTCCTCCTCCTCCTCCTGGTAGCACTGGTAGCACTGTAAAGCGTGTCCGTGCGAGCACAGAATACACGCGCCTAGTAAAAGATGCGGCCCAGCCCCGAAAAATGGGACCCCCTGAACATAGCACCGCCCACCACGCGCCCGTAAGCTCCTCACTATCAAGGGGGGCTGGGCACGACATCAACCTCGCCTTCCAGGCGAGGGCCCTCCAACGGGGTTCAAAACCGACGGGCTGGCATAACCCAGAATTGCCGGATGAGCCCACCACGGGGATTTAAAATCCCCCGCCTTTAACCCTCAGTCCGCCCATCGTGCGCTCTATCCCCCATGTGGGGGGGGCTTGGCGTAACGGTATGGCCGTCCAGACCGTTACGAGTCCCGTCGCAGTCACCCCAGGTGAGTGATTCTGGAGAAGGTGAGGGCGGTCCCTGGCACACATCCTCGCTGCAGCTTCCGAAGCTCACTGCTGACGCGGGGGGGGGCACTCGCCCCTGCCAGGGAGCCACCTCTTGTTTGCTGCCTCACTCGGTCCTGTTCCGTGAGGCAGAGCTGCAGGAGTTTTGTGCCCCTCCCCATGCTATACCCCCCACAGAGGTTACAAAAAACAATTGGCATGTTACTCCCATCAATCCACCCCATGCTTAGGGAATGGTGAAGGGCTCGGCGCTTGTTAATTGCCTCTGTGAGGGAAGGGGGGCACTCTTGTGAGCAAGCCCTCCTGCATTGAGGAGTGACCTTTTTCAAACATGTGGTACATCGATAACCCTTGCCAGTCCAAGTGGGCGAGTGGGTAGAAACAAACGGGCGGGGTGGAGGGGATCAACCTTGGACAAGGGACCAAAATACTCACGCGAGGGGGGCCAGCTGGCCAGAACCCTCCCTGCACCTGTCACGAGCTCGACATATTCTTTCAGGGCCAACGTGCAGTCCGCAAGGGAACCGGGATTAATGTCGTGCTTCCCGGCGGCCTCCTTTGCTAGAGTGTCCGCCATCCGATTTCCTAGGATTCGATATCGGTCAGAATCGCTAACCGCATCTTCAACGTTGCGGTGGGCTTTGACACGTGAGAGCAACAGCCATGGCCCTGGCGTGGCATGCGCCAGAACCCTCCAATAATGACTAAAGAGGGTGGTGCCCTTGAGGCTGAGAGCCGGCTGAGAAACTCCGCGGAAAAGAGCCTTGCAGTCCACCGCAAACTCTGGGGACTGCTCCAGATCAGAATGGAGCCCCGCCGCTACGAGTCCAGAGTGCTCACAATGGACAGCATGCTGAGGTAGCACTCGGGGCTGCGGGGACGACACGGCGCGGAGAAGGTTGCCATCATCATCTATCTGGCACGCTGCCAGGCCCTCCCAAGGTCAAACTGAAATTTATCACAGGGCCCCTCCCCATCTCTATAAAAGAATTCCCAATCAACCACCGGTGGGTCGATATCGGGGGCTGCCAACCACAGATGCGCGAAAAGTGGGTGGCTGGGACCTGCTGCAACTGCTCGCTCGACAAATTTCCCCAGCTCCTGGTCTCGAAGGGGGGCGCAACGAGGGCACTCCCACAGACGATGAAAAGGAGTGTCCAAAGATCCATTGTTGCAGTAGGGGCAACGAGTGGGAATGTCATACCCCCACTTAGCCAACGAGGTGGCTGTGACTAAACAGTCCCCTAAAAGACCATGCACACAGGCCATCTCTCGAGTGCTTAGCTGCTTACCTACCTGCTTTAACACTCGACAAATCTGGGTCCTCCACAAACCCCGAGTGAGCAGTTCCTGCCCATAGGGGTGGGTGTCAGCACCAAGCTTAGATGCTATTGTGGCTAGCACGCTGCGCGACCTAAGGCTGTCATTAAAGAGGGAGGTGAGCCAGTGGTGGGGAAACTGCATGAGGGAGTAGACCTGCCCATCAGGGCTCACTAAATGGGTAGCATCACGAAACGCCCATCCAGCCAGCTCCACCCACTGCAGCATCTCGGTGAGGGGCCCCCGGGATTTTCCCAGCCAAGATTTCTTGGTGGTGCTCCTGAGGTGCTCGCGCGCGTTCACGAAGGCATTCTGCAGTCCTATTGGAGGCCCCACCACTGCCCACCCTTCCATTCCCCATGCTTGTTCTCAGACGGGGGAAGGGGCATCTTACAGTGGTAGCACCAGGTGTAGTGATGAAGGTTCTTGCGGCACTTGCAATTAGGACAAACAATATTATAGGTCTGCCCATAGCCTTTCGCGCCTCCATCGGCGCCCATACTCTGACACTCCCAATCTCTATGGCGCGCGCGCGAGAGAGTAAGGTTTAACTAGGGATCGAAGGGCCCCTACCCTGAGTCCAGCCTCCGCTTTGAGCAGAGGTTGAGTGGGACCCCCACGGGGAGGTACACCCGTGGAGGCTTGAGCCAAAATGGCTACGGACCTCCTCCTCCCCTCCTCCTCCCTCCTCCTCCTCCATCTCCTACCCCCTCCCTCCTCCTACTTCCTCCCCCTCCTCCTCCTCCTCCTCCTCCACCTCCTCCTCCACCTCCTCCTCCACCTCCTCCTCCACTCCTCCTCCTCCTCCTCCGCCTCCTCCTCGCTCCTCCTCCTCCTCCCTCCTACTCTCCTCCACCACCTCCTCCTCCTCCTCCCCCTCCACCTCCTCCTCCTCCTCCTCCTCCCCCTCCCCCTCCCTCAACCGAGGACCACCGAGCGACGACGGCGGACGGCGACGCCGAGGCGCGTCGGCACGGCGCGGCCGGAGGCAGCGCCCGCGCCTGACAGCCGCAGCTTCAGGCTTTGCGCCTCGCGATGGGGCCGGCCCCGCCCGAAGTCCACTTCCAGGGCATGGCATACTAGGCTCCTGCAGCCTGCGCGGTGCAACCTCCGTCATGCAATCTACGCGGTGCAGTCTACGCGGTGCAATCTACGTGGTGGTGCAACCAATTTCTGTTAGCAGTGAGTTGTCCACTCGCACGCTCTTGTCAACATCCCGCCCACCCACCCGCAACTTGGTTTGCAAAACCCATGGCGTGGCGATTGCGACGCATGCTTGGCGTTGGCTGGTGCATCTCTGCGGCCGCGCCAACCCTAGCACGCGCGCGCGGCGGCAAGCTAATTTGGCGCCGCCGACGCGGCCGCGGTGGCGCTGATCGCTGGGCGCATCGCAGCGGGCGCTTCACTGCGAGTCGGCAACTTGGGCGGGCGCGGTACAATCGCAACGCCGAGTACGGTAGACACGGCGATGATCGTGGCGATGCCGGCGACGATGTTTGCACCGACGAAGGCGCGGCCAAAGCGGGCGCCGATTCTGATCACGCCGACGACGATGACGGCGTCCTCGCGTCGGTGATGGAGGTTTTGGAAAAAATTCGACATGCGCCCGCGGCCGACGCGCGAGTGGCCACCATGGTTTGATTTGACACGGATCGTGCCCCCCCTGCACGCGCGCAAGGGCGTGCGAATGCTGTCGGCATGCGGCGCCAAAGGCCCGTTTCACAAAATACATGAAAATGTTGAAAAACCTACGGTTTTCTGAAGAATTCGCAAGAGCGCGCGCGCAAGTTTTTTTCGAATACTGATGTTGCGGAGCCTTGTGTTCTTGAGCGTTTTTGCTCGGAAATGTTGTTTTGAACTCGCTACGAAACAAAAAGGTGTTTGAATGATTTCTTCATGCGCGCGTGACGCGGCCAGTGACGGCGCGGATGCTGATCGCGCCGGCGACGACGGCGGCGCCCTCGCGTCGGCGCTGAAAAAGGTTTTGGAAAGAATTCGACGCGCGCGCGCGGCCGACGCGCGAGAGTGGCCCGCGCGGCATGATTCGACGCGGATCGCGCCCCCCCCCCCGCCACCGCGCGCGCAAGGGCGCGCGAATGATGTCCGCATGCGGCGCGAGAGGCCCGTTTGGCAGAACTCCTTGCCAATGTTGAAAAAAACCTATGGTTTTTCTAAAGAATTCGCAAGAGCGGGCGCGTGCGCTTTTCTTCAAAACTGATGTTGCGAAACCGTGCTTGTTGGATGTGTTCTGGACACTCGGCTTTGAAACCGTCACGAAACCAGCGGTTTTCGAAGGGCGTCGGCTCGCGCGCGTGACAACGCGCGCAACAATGATTCTCGCGACGGTACGCGCGCAAGGGCGTTCGAACGATCTCGACGTGCGCGCGCGAAACGGTTTGGTTGTGGTTTCTTGAAAAATCGCAAGAGCGCGCGCAAGTTGTTGTTGAAGACCCGCGTTGCGAAACCATGTGTTTATATGTTTGGTTGGGCGCTCGATTTTGACATCCTTACGGAACCAACGGTTTTTGAAGGATTCCGGCATGCGCGCGCGACAACGCGCGCGCGCGCACGTCGTCCCATTTTTAGAAGGTGATTATTGCAAACTTGTGGTTTTTGATAAACGAGTGCGCGCGCATAAAATCTGTTGCAAAGGATGATGGGGTGGGGTCGGTACCGGTTGGGCTGGGACGGTAAGAGTTCATATTTCGGATGGACGATGGGGCAGAATCATATGTAAATAGCAACGCGAAAAGGAGTGCCGATAATCCAGGGGAGAGGGGGGTAGAGTCTGTTTACTTTGGTAAAAAAGAACTCGCTCGCCGAGCTCGAAGTTGTCCACTCCGCTGCTCGCGCAAACATCCCTCCCACCCTCGTCGGTGGTCTCCGCGACCCCCTGAAGGACCGCCCCCTGGCGCCCTCTCTGCCATGGGAGCCCGTCTGCGATATAGGGCCCGAGCGATGCCAGTCATGGCAGCGTCGACAGTGGTCGACACGATGATCTTAGTAGCGATGCTGGTGACGATGCTGGCAACGACGAAGGCGCGGCCAGTGCGGGCGCCGATGCTGATCGCGCCGGCGACGACGACGACGCCCTCGCGTCGGCGATGAAGGTTTTGGAAAGCGTTCGACATGCGCGCGCGGCCGACGCGCGAGTGGCCCGCATGGTATTATTTGACACGGGTCGTGCCCCCTCTCAGCACGCGCGCAAGGGCGCGCGGATGATGCCGGCATGCGGCGCGAGAGGCCTGTTTGGCAGAACTCCATGCCATGTTGAGGAACCTGTGATGGCCTCAAGAACTCGCAAGGGCGCGAGTGCGCGTTTTTTTTTGCATGTGTGTTGACACTCGGTTCTGAAATTGCTGCGAAACCTGCGGTTTTTGGCGGATTCCGGCATGCGTGCGCGACGACGCGCGCGCGTGCACTTCGTCTCATTTGTTGCAACAGATTCTCGCGACGGCACGCGCGCAAGGGCGTTCGAACGATTTAGACACGCGCGCGCGAAGCCCGTTTGGTAGCATTTTATGAGCACGTACAGTTTTCGCAAGAATTCGCAAGAGCGCGCGCACAAGTTGTTGTTGGACTTCCGCGCTGCGAAACCGTATGATTTCATATGTTTTCTTGACACTCGATTTTGATACCCTTACGAAACCTAAGGTTGTTGTATGATTTCTGCATGCGCGCGCGACGATGGGCGCGTGTGCGCATTTCGCCTCAGTTTTTGTAAAAAAGGGTTCTTGACAACTGAGAAGTTTTGGCAAATGAGTGTGCGCTCATAGTGCCTCTTTCGCAGAGGATGGCGGGGGGGCGGATACCGGCGTGGCTGGGATTGTATGAGTTCGTATTTCGGATGGGCGATGGGGCATAATCAAATGCAAATTGCACTACGGAGAGGGGAACCGATAGTCCTGGTGGCCGGGTAGAGCCTAAAGAGAGGAAAGGGGAAGCTGTGCGAAGGCGACGGCGGCGACGGGCGGCACCGCCCGCAAAAGCCGCCGCTTGCCCCGAGCGGCGGCGACGGCGACGGCGGCGGCGGGCGGCACCGCCCGCAAAAGCCGCCACTCGCCCCGAGCGCCGGCGACGGCGACGGCGGCGACGGGGGGCACCGCCCGCAAAAGCCGCCACTCACCCCGAGATGGTTGACATGTAAGAGCCCCTCAGTGCAAGCACTGGCTGGGGAAAGTGTCTCCTTCGCGTCGCACCACCAGGCGTGCCGCGAGGGCGGGCCGGGCGCTTCGCAGGAGACCCCCCTCGCCGTTCGCAGCGTCTGCTGCCTGAAATCTCCAGCGGTTGCACGGAGGAGGGCAAACCGTTCTGAACGCGGGGCTCTCGCCGCGCACTGTCCTAGCAATAATCGCCAGCAGCTGCGCAGATGGAGGGCGGGCCGTTTGCAGCATGGAGCTCTCTCGCCTTGGCGCCGCGCGCACGCGTCTTTAAGAGTGGCAGCGGGTGAGATGGACGGCGAATCGGCTTCAAAATGGGGTTCCTCATCCGACTTCCTCAACGTCGTGATGCGGCCGTCTCACGGCCGTCGGTAAGAATCGGATCCAGGGCGGATGGTTTTCAGAATCGAACTCTCGCCTCAGACTTCCTCCGCAAAATCCGCAGACCCTGTCGGCGTGTGGAAGGCTCTCCGTTGGTCGCCGTCGTCGTCGTCGTCGTCGTCGTCGTCGTCGTGTCATCTCCGTCGCCTCCTCGTCGTGTCCGTCGTCGTGTCCGTCTCCGTCAGCTCCTCGTGGTCTCCGTCAATCTGACTACCTACCAGACCACCCCAACCCAACCCGAAGACCCGAATTTCGGGTTGGGGGGGGTACGGGTTCCATACGTGTTTTCTCGATGTTCCCCGACCCCCCCCAACTGGAAATGGAGGGCAAATCGAGACCTTCGGGTTGGGTTGGGGTGGTTTGGTGGGTGGTGACAATCGTCGTCTCCGTCGTCCCCCGTCTCCTTTCCCTGGGCCTTCCTCCTGAAGCGCGCCAGCCAAAGCGACATTGAGCCTTCCGCGCCGGGGGGGTCCTGCGGGGTGGGTCGCCACCAAGATACGCATCCCCCCCCGGGCGGTGCCGGGGCCCAGAAAAGCCCGAGGACGCGGCAAGAGTGCCCCAAGAGGCCTCCAAGGCGGTCCTCCATGGCCCCGAGTCGCCGAACTATTGGTCCAAGACGCCAAAGTAGCCTCCAGACGGCTCAAGAGGTTGTCAAAACGCCCAAAGAGGTCTCCAAGAGCACTCCCAAGAAAGCTCCAATAACAAAAAACATATATTTACGTCAAGTGTTTGAAAGATTTTGGCGTTCTCGCCTTGTCGGTTTCTCGGCGCTCCAAGACAGCCCAAGAGGCCCCCAAGATCGCCCAAGAGGCCTTCAAGGGGGCCCACAAACGACCCAATAGACTCCTAAGACCGCCCAACAGGCCGACAAGCTCGAGAAGCCTCCCAAGAGGCCCCAAGAGGCCCCCAAGAGACCCCCAGGAAGCCCCAAGAGGCCTCTCCGCAAGGGCCTCCCAAGAGGCGCCCCCGAGAGTCGTCGTCGTCGTCGTCGTCGTCGTCGTCGTCGGGTCGTCGGTGTCGTCGGTGTCCGTCGTTGGCGGCGGCGTCGTCGTCGTTGTCTTTGTTGATGTTGTTATTGTTGTCGTCGTCGTCGTCGTCGTCGTCGTCGTCGTCGTCGTGGTCGTCGTCGTCGTCGGTGTCTTCGTTGTCGTCGTCGTCGTCGTTCAAGGTCTGCGGCACGGGCCGTATGGCCTCGCCACTCTCGCCTCGGACTTCCTCAACATCTATTACCAGAGTTTGCACTTGTCCGCCGGCCCCCTTGCGGGGCCGCAGTGCTCCGCGGGTCAGGCTTGCTGCTCCCTGCTCCAGTTCTAGCTTCAAGTCTCCCATGTCGAAGTCCTACTTTCTACCTCCTACTTCGAACAGTTGAAGTCCGCGCGAGGGGGGGAGCCGAAAAGGGCCCTGGTTGCCACCATCTGGGCGGGTTCTCCAAATTTCTGGGGGGTCCTGGGACGCATGAA